GAGGGAAATTTATGGAGGGAAAATATGGAGGGAAAGAAGTAGAGGGAAAACAATTTGGGGGAAAAGATTGTTGCTGCGAATTTCGTAACCGAACGATCTGCGAGATTTTGAAGATGGAAAATTTCCGCCCCTACCCTCTTGAGAAGGCGGAACAAAGAGCGGAACAAAGCTTGTTCCGCCTAATTCCATGGAATTGTTATCCCCTCTTATGACGGGTTAAATGGGGAAAAAAGCTCATGTGCGGGTTTGTTAGCCCTTCTTGTTTTTTTTCTGTTTGGCAAGCTAATGACGGGTTAAACTCACTTAACCCTCCATTTATCCTGTTGCCAAACAGGGCCAAGTTATATAAAAGGATTCGGATCCTCTTCAATTTGGTGGTAATTAGAAAATATCCAATTCTTTCAATCCTCACCATTTATCTCAATTTCGAGGGATAAAATACCGCCATGTAGGATATCCACAATCAAACTAGTGATTTTTCAGAAGCTGTGATAGATTTGGTGAAAATAATTTATTTATGATAAAGTCAACTTATTTCTAAAAATTAATAAAACAATCTTTCCTAAGGGCCCGTTTGGATAATGGAAGTACTAGAGGTAAGAAGTAAATTATGAAAGTAATTTCTAAAACTATGAAGTAGGAAGTAGCGGAAATAGCATTTTTTTTGTTTGTTTCATATATTTTAGAAGTAATGGAAGTAGAACTTTTTCCTCTTCATTTACTTTTTTTTGTTTGGATGATATTTGGAATTATTACTAGGAAGTAATTAATACATGTTGCTTCCACTTTATTCTTGTTTGGATTGTCATTGTAATGGAAATAGAGTTGTTGTTGCCATCAATTGAAGAGACCAATATTCATAGTTGATTTGCTTGATATATAATAAAGGTAATCTTACATTTTTGGATCAAGGAGTATGACACGAAACACTGAGGATAGCAAGGGAGCATCTGCAGCAAACAAGAAAGAAACATAATAAACTATGGCACTAGTCAAGTACGAGGATTTCAGTTTCTTATGCCTGCTATTTCGTGCAATAACAAGAAAATGAATGAAAGCAAATCATCAGATAAATAATGCAGTACGAGGATAATGAGATGCGCAGCATAATTGCAACAAGCACATTAAATATCTGTTGAATTTATTAAAAAAAAGAAAGCCATCAGATAACTATACCTTCGAAGAGAACACAAATATCACATGATGACGTGGGTGGGGGGGGGCACTGATGCGGCGGAAGTAACTATTTGTTTGCACGGAGAATTCTAGTTGGTTATAAAAATAATCTTATCACTCCCTAATTATATATTTGAGGATCTTTTTTTCATGGTGGACCCCACTCTATATCAACTTCTGCCTATTTCAGTGCATTTTGGGACGGAAAAATATTAAGGAAATGTAGATGCCACATAGACGCCATGTCATCATTTAAGGAAGTAGCGGAAGTAGATTTTTAAGAGAAACAAACATACATTTTTGCCTGGAAGTAACAGAAGTAGACTCTACTTCCTCTACTTCTGCTATTTCACAGTTACTTCTGTGCAAACAAACGGGCCCTAAGTGGCAAATGACAAAAGCTCTGGAGGTTTGGAAAAGCAAGAGCTTACCGATTTTCGTTTTGCTCGGGCAAATGATGAAAGTTTTCATTTCCTTGATAATTAAACAGAAGTTCTAAAAATATATGAATAAGAAGAAAGTGTGCATAGAAAATTAGAAAATAGAAATAGGTATTTTCTGTTATGTTTTCTTTACAAGCAAATACAAATGAATTGATTTGGCGGAAAAAGGATATCGGAGATGAAGGAGAAAGCGAAATTTTGACATGTATTTTTACCACCTAACTGGGGCCTTACCGCTCAATTCAGGAAATTATGGAATTTTTTAAATTAAATTTTAGAAATATAATAAATTACTTTCACCAAATCTACTATGGTTTTTGGAAATCCACTAGTTTGATTGTGTGAATCCTAGATGGTAATATTTTACCCATCGAAACTGAGATTGATGGTGAGGATTGAAAGAATTGGACACTCTCTAATTACCACCTCATTGAAGATGATTTGAATCCTATATAAAATAAGCCCCAAGGCCTCTTCAGATCTTGCAGAATAGATTTTGCAGTAATAAGTTTTGCTTTAGCGATTTTGCCCCTAAACTTTTTGGTCAATTCTACAACTTATTCACTAGCGACATATCTGGCGCTAGCAAAGGGTCAAAAAATCTCATCAGGTAACTTGGTCACCTACCAACTACAGCGATCTTTTCCCTCGTATGCCTCTTGCTCCGATATTTTGTCCTGTGTGTTCGCCCTCTATCATTCTTCTTTCTCTCCAATTTCTTATTTCTAGGCAAATCAATTTCACAATTTTTTCCTTCTATTTTCCTTTGTATTTTTCCTTTTTTTCCTTCTATTTTTATGCTGTTATCATATAATCTATGGATCAATTGAGGTTCCTGTGCTATTGAGGAGATTTGGGACAGAAATATGAATTTTTTTTAAACTGATTGAATAATAAGAATTGGATTTTTAGATGGAGGAGGAGATTTTAGATAAGAAAGATGAAATTTTATTTTCTTTTTCCATGCATGGATTTGACTTTGAGTTTTCTATGCATGAATTTGAGTTTGAGTAATTATTCAGTTTACTGATTGAAGAATAACAATTGTTATTATATAAAACTGAGATGTTAAGATGAGGCCAAGAAGTCATCTTTTCATCCTATGAATTTTAAGGTGTATGAAGTCTCATATTTGACTATTGAAGCGGTGCGATAGAGACTCCATTTAACGTACCAATAGTTCCCTGATGCTGGGTAACTAATGGACTCCTCATTTTGAAATAAAAAAGATTGATATTGGTGCGACCTAATCCATTAGTTGAAATCAATCCCAAACCCGCCGTATGATACCTTTTTCCGGTATATGAAATAATACACTTGAGTAACTCAATTCTTATGAAATCGCAAATCAGATCATTTGCCCTTACCTCAACAAAGGAAGCATGAGACTCTTCTATAGAACGCTTTTTTTCTTGGTCCCAGTTCAAGACTAAGCAAGTCCGAACTAATTGAATATTTGTGAGATAAATTCCTCGAATTGACTTTCTATTTCCATAATGGATATAATTGACAACTCTTAAGTTAGACATTATCCTTTTCCTGCAAGAGATCCTGCGGGAAAGATTTTGCTAAATTTATCCCATCAGCTATTTCATATGTGACTACGGGCCAAACCAAAACAAAATACTTCTTTTTAGTAGGTGTGATCCGTTGGACATAGATTCAATTTTTTATTTTTTTGTGATTCATTAGAATTTTTTCCTTTTCTATTCCTAGTGGTATTAAAATGCCGCTGTGTCTGGATATCTTATCCATCTCTCCGGGAAAATGAATATCTCCATAAAAGATTTTAAGTTCAATATTTTTTTCCCTCTACTCGGACTAGTCCACTTACTCGGCTTTTTGTATTTGTATTTAAAGTGAGCTGTATATCTACTCCAATGATATTATTATTCCGGACCATTGTGAATGAAGATCCGGGTAAGATATGCACCTCTTTGGGAATAAAAAAACCAATCCACTTTCATTTGGTATTTCAGACTAAATTCTTTTGCTTCTTGATATCCAATCAAATCTTCTTTTTTTTACGATTGAATCCACCTCTACGGTCCCATATTTAATGATTCCCGAACTGTTTTCTTCTATGTCATGGATCATCAAAATAAACCATAATACTATTTCTACATAAAATACCATTTATGGGTATTTTAGTTGAAATATAAAAAGAGGGTATTATTTCATTGTCTCTTTCTTGATCATATTGTAATGGGATGAGAAATCTATTTCTTCCCGTTTTCGCCAAGAAATCAAAATTTTCTTGGAGAATCGAAGGATATATGAATTTCCAATGACTTTTGGATATGATTCGATCAAGTCTTGAGTAGTCAATAATTCCCTATATTTTTTAAGAGTACCGAAAAGATCCAACAATTTATGTATTACTCGATCATTAGTGATTGAGAGGTCAAAGATATATATCTCCTCAACGGAAAAAGAATGAACATTCATTTGATCTTGATCCTTGTGGAGCGAAAAAGATACTATACTAGATCTTTATGGACCTCCTGCTAATGGCCATAAATGACTTGTTTTCGGTAATAGATGGACATTACTATATATATATATATATATATTTATTTATTTATATATATATATATATATATATATATATATATATATATATAATAATTATATATATATATATAATATATATATATATATTTATTTATTATTATATATATATATATATATATTTATATATATATATATATATATATATATATATATATATATATATATATATATTATATCATAATATATATATTATGATTATATATACTATTATTATATATATATATATATATATAGGTAATATAATATATATATATATATATATATATATATATATATATATATATATATATATATATATATATATATATATATATCATAATATTATTATAATATATATATATATATATTATCATATATATATAGTGCCTTTCTCCTACGGCATCAGTTCCGTACGGATATGAGGCGGAAATGCAGTAGGCGTTTTTGGGCGTTTTTTCGCAAAAATGCTTCCTACTCTCTCTCTCATAATAAACTCCGCTTACTTTGCATCTGCTCAAATTAATCATGCTCCCTCTCTCTCTCTCTCACAAGCGAAAGCTACATCCCCTAAAAGTCAAAATCCGCCCAATTCCACACCGTTCTTCTCCCCCAAAATCACCGACGACGAGCCCTAATCTCCTCCTAACGTCTGAAGAAAGGCGTCGGACCCCCAAAGTCGCGACCCCAAAATCCTTCCGAGACTCGACGTCGGACCCCCAAATCGGGACCAACACCGCCCCCTCGCCTCCCCCCCAACGTCGGACCACCAACGCCACGAATTTAGGCCTCAAAAGACTGTTTTTTTACAGCAAGTTTCAAATTATGTGCCCAGCATTCTGGGGAAGATGGGATCTTTGGATTTCTTGATGGAATGAGGTATGGATAGTTATCTCTCTTTTTTTACATGACCAGTTCGAATCTGTATGATTCTTTTTATTGGATTTGCCATAGAAAATTGACATTCAAGATGATTTTCTTTTGAACCCGTTATGGGTTTTTGATGGATTATTGATTGAATTCCTGCAAAAAGTTATAATTTTTATCGAGTTGTAACAAGGTATAACCTGGCTATGCAAATTTGTTGGTTTTTAGAGCTTTTACTGTTCTTTTATGAAACTTTTCCCCTTGGCTTGACACAAAGTTTGTATAGTTCTTCAGCCTATGATGCTATCTCTAGTCCTTCACATTTTCATTGGATTCCTGTTGCTTATCTATTTGAAGAAATATTTGACTGATTTCTGAGAAACCCATTATATATATATCTTGAGTTTTCTTTTTCTTTAGTTAAAATGCCCATGAAATTGTTTTCGTTTCTGATGATATATATATATCTTGAGTTTTCTTTTTCTTTAGTTAAAATGCCCATGAAATTGTTTTCGTTTCTGATGAGATGAGCTTGCATATTTCTGTTGAATTGAAGCCCAAAAGTCCTTCCTGATTCAGTGAGAGCACAAATCTCTTTCGTTCTTGTTTGGTTTTTTTACTATTTCTGCTCTCTGTTGAAGAAAGATTTGATTTTGCTTCATTGTTAGTATCTTAATAATCCCATGTTTCTTTCCAATGCAGAAAACCAAACCAAAAACTGAACCTCCATCATCATTACAATGAGGGACTTTGCTTGTTTCGGTGAAAGTAGAGTTCAAATTGCTGATGCCTCCTCCTCATCTTCTTCCTCTTCATCTAAAAATGCTCAGAATCAAGTGACTTGCATCTATCAGAGCCAACTCGGGTCTCGTTCTTGCATAATCACCATAACATGGACCAAGAACTTGGTGGGGCAAGGCCTCAGCATCTCAATAGACGATTCCACAAACCAGTCCCTCGGCAAATTGGAACAATTAACAAAATTCTGATTTTTCACATGCCTTTACTCATGAACCTGGTTACACGAAGAGACAAATTGGAAACATATAATGACTAAGAGAGTCGGCCTGTATTGTAATGTAGATAATCTTAGTTCCTGTATCTGATCAGTACTAGCAAGTTGGAATAAATTGAACACCAAGAGACGCAGAAGGATGAGAACAAGAAACCAATCCATAAATAATGACTATGAGAAACTTGCATGTTTACAACTCAGCACAAATGAAAATTCATATCAGTTAACAAAACCAGCAACACCATAAACTTGCATGTTTACAACTCAAGTCCCAGCAGAAACTTGCATGTTTACAACTCAAGTCCCAGCAGAAAATTCAGCAACACCATAAACTTGCATGTTTACAACTCAAGTCCCAGCAGAAAAATCAGTACACATTACAATACATTGCAATCAAACATAAACAACTAGGTAGTTAAATGTTGACAATAATCAGACCACTCCTCATTCAAGCTCCTGATTCAAGCTCCTGATTCAAACAACAGAAATCAGTTTGAGAAACATATAAGCTTTTGAAGTAAGTTAGGTAATTATTTAAAAAATTAGTATTATTGAAGTAAGTTAGGGGATCACTTTGGCTTGTACCACTTAGCATTTGTAAGAATACAAGATTGACACAACTAAAGAAGCTAACTACACTTTAGAGCATTTGTAAGAATACAGTGGGTCATTTGGTGGTTGGGGGATCACTTTGGCTTGTACCACTTAGCCCACTGACTGAAGAAAAGGGTGAAGAGCAGGACAAGAGCCATGGCAATGGACTTTTAATGCATGGGAGAAGAGAGCTGTGCTGTTCTTTTGGAGAGTAGCATTTTGAAACTGTGGTGGCTACAATGAGCTGTTGATTCTTGAATTGTCAGTTACTTGTAAAGAATGTGAAAGTAACAAAAGCTTGTGACCCAAAAATTGATTTACCGAGTTCTTGTCCTTGTTGACTGTTCCATGCATCTTCATGAGTTAATGTGATTGGGGTCCATCGACAGAAGCTAACATCTATGATTGGGGGGGGAGAATTGGTATACTTTTTGTCATTACCTCTGAGAGATCACCAAATAGCTCCAAAGTGCCAGTGTTTTTATATGTGCTGAGCCCTGGTGGAAACTGCAGAATGCATGTTAGCCAAAAGTTGTGGAATATGTTATCTTTTTGTATACTTTTTGTCAACTGCTATCATCATTTTTTTAATGCTTTTGCCTGCATGACTTTGGAAGCAGGATATGTTGATAACTAAGTTTGTTCCCAATGTTGCTATGAGCCACTGTTGTTAGATGGGTAATTGCTGTTGACGGGCTCTTGTGAACGTAAGCATGAACAATCTTTATCACAAAAATTAGTACTGACCAAAAATGAAGTAATAGGTAGACTTTCTTTTAATTTTTTAACTAGCAAGAGAAACATGGAATATTCAATCTTTATTTAATTCTTCATACTAAAAAGCTAAGTCCTATTTTGGATAATGTTTCCTCACTTCAGAACTTTTAGACCTATGGAGATATCTTAGTTATTCATGCATTCAAACTCTTCACCACTTGGAAATATAGATACTCCTACTTTGTATGAAAGAAAGGAAAGATATGTGCCCTAGCTTAGCCCAACTTTAAAAAAATTAAAAAGGGCAGCAATATTCAAAGATGAGAAGTACCTACATTACCCTCTTAATCTTCAAAAAGATCCACATCTTCACTTGATGACTCATTACCCTCTTGCAAATTTGTATCACCGCTTGTAGAAAACCTACATTATATTAAAATATCCATACATATATACATCAAGAAGGATACTAGAATGTGAAAAATAAGACAACATAAATAATAAAAGAATTATTACTTACGGATTTGTGAGTGCCGGACAATTTCGCTTATCATGTGATTGGCCTACTTTACCACACCCGTGAATTTTGATACAGGCCTCTAGTGTCAATTAGGGATTAAGAGATTACGAAGTACAATTACATATTTTGATACAGGCCTCTAGTGTCAAAGCACTCTCTGCTCTCTGATTTCTTCAAGCCACATAATTTTCTTTAAAATTTGTGGTTATGTCGATTTTTTCACAACAAACACATATATAAGCTTCAGATTATTGGCTAGGGTATCAAGTTGTTGACAACTGTGTTCAATAATAGAGAAGCTCAATAACCTTATAAGAATCTTGACAGTCGGCATGTCACAAAAATGTCTTATGAGGCAGAGACTAACAATAACAACTGGGCTTGCACTGATATGGTAGGTTAATTCTGCATTAGGTTCTACTCTCGTTGAAGCTCTATTTGACGCAGGTTATCTATGGCAAGAAAGCGTTTTTATATTGTGTTAAGAGGTAGACAATGTGGCATTTTTGATAATTGGGAGGAATGTAAATTCGCTGTTGATAAATTTCCAAATGCCTCGTACAAAGGGTTTGCAACGTACGAAGAGGCTTTGAGAGAATGGGAGAAGCACACCATCGATCGTGATTCAGCATCCAGCTCAAGGCCTGTCCAGACACCACTTCAATTTCAACAACAAATATTTCCGGATATGCATAATAAAGATAAGGACAAGGAAAAATTTAGGGAAATTGTTATTTCCCCGATCTATATTTTTGCATTAGGTTCAATGTTTACAATATTTGTGTTTGTAGCATGTATCGTTGCAATATTTGTTAGCTTTTCCATTGTAAAGGGTATGTGATGGGATTTGTAAGTTATGTGATGTAATATTTATGCATCTTATATTTTGGACTTGTCATTTTTCAGAACATATTTAAGCAGAACATATATTTTCAGAACATGTCATCTTTTAAGAATATTTTTGTAACAGGTATTTGATGGGTCTGTTTTCAAAATTTGTTCGAATATCCTATCTTGCTAAGATGTGACATAATATTTTTGTAACAGGTATTTGATGGGTCTGTTTTCAAAATTTGTTCGAATATCCTATCTTGCTAAGATGTGACATAATATTTTTGTAACAGGTATTTGATGGGTCTGTTTTCAAAATTTGTTCAAAATTTGCTAAGTTGCTAAGTCCCTTCTGAACTGATGTATGGACATGTGCGATGTCGGTGAAAGAAAAGAGATAACTTGTCTGGAAACTAACACTCAACAGATCCACATCCTGGCCTTGTGTTGGTGTATATGAGATAGCTTCATAAGATCATAGCATTGTGATAAACTGATTATTTTTACGTAAAATCATCAAAGCTATATCATCAAGTTTTCTTGTTTTTTGACTTTAGTTCTTTGTTTGCATCAAAACCAATTCAAGCTGGCGACTGCAATCCAATCACGTATGACTTGTGCGTACTTATGACCAATACAATCCAATCAGGAATTGACTCTCTTCTTGTTGATGTTGCTGATAATATATCCAGACTTGCTGTAATTCTTCTAGTTGAGAAGAAACTTGGTTAGGTAAATGCCAGGTCCTATTTATTTACCTCAATATGTCAAATGTAACTGATGTAAATTTAAGCAATTGTATTCTAGCTGAGAAGCAATTGTATTCTTTGGAATGTGAGATCAAATTATCAACATGACATATTCATTAAGATCTCAAAGCTGAAGGACCCGGCTTTATATTTTTCTACCTTGGATAAGAGAACTGTGCATTAATTTTCTGATCTTCGTGCCCTACAATTGAAGAAAATAGTCTCTCTTAAAACTGCATCTTACAACATACAAAACACAACTTCAAAACACAACTGCACAAGATAACTTGTCCTTTACAACATACAAAACACAACTTCAAAACACAACTGCAAAAGATAACTTGTCCTTTACAACATACAAAACACAACAGCACAAAGATTTTGTCAACTTCAAATCCGAATTTCTGTGTCCTCCATGTTCCTGAGAATGACAACATACAAAGTCAATACATTAGCTCAAACAGGAAAACTAATACAAATTAAGCACTCAAAAGACTGCTGGCTTGTCAGATTTGGCTTATTTGTTAACCGGATCAGTATTTAATATAACCATTTCTCTCACCAGATTTTTTGCTAATGACTGCTGGCTTGTCAGGTTTTTTGCTAATGAGGAATAACAGAAAATAAGGGAAAATTTCACAGAATACCCCCTTAACATGCGAAATGCCAACCCCATCTTCAGAAAGAGCATAAAAATTAATCAGATTATCAGCATTAGCTCCAATAAGATAACATACATTAAAACGAGATTCAGATGAAGACCGTCTTCATATGAGCACATCATCCCCATCTTCACTTGATGACCCATTACCCTCTTCCCAATTTGTATCACCGCATGTAGAAGACCTACATTATAAAGAAAAAATATATATATACACCAAGGGGATAATAGAAGGTGAAGAATAAGAAAGGATTAAAGAAGGTAAAAGAACTACTACTTACGGATTTGTGAGTGCCGGACAATTTCGTTTATCATGTGATTAGCCTACTTTACCACACCCGTGGCAACGTCTATCTTTTTTATTTTTTGCTCTAGCCATTGCTTTCTCTTTTTCCCCCCTTCAACCTTTTGCCGCACCCTTTTGCTCGCACTTGATCGGGTTCATTGAAACTATTTTGAAAAGTACAAGAATCCTGCACACTAGTACCATCATCCATTAAATTACTACTCATTTGATTACTTTTCTCGGTGAAGCTCTTTGCAACCGTGCGGCTACTAATGAATTGGTCGATTTGCTCATTAATGATACGCACTCCATCGGTAAACATCTTCCTCGTTTCTTCACATACAAGGGACTTGTCAACTAATTCCAAAGATGATTGGATAAATTGACTCCGTGTTAAAAGATAAGAATTGTCAGGGTTTATCTGCATACCTTTATCATCAACCACTGTCCCCGATTTTGCAGACTTAGTCCACCTCTTTAAGATGTATTTATCGGGCAATATTTCAGCATCAATTTTCATCAAATATGATATAATGTGCGTACATGGAATTCCAGCGCTTTCGGACTTTTTACAACTACAAGAAACCAAATCCAAGTCCTTGTCATAAACGATTTCGCAGACTTTGCTTGTTGCGAGCTTCTTTCTTTGAATTTGATACACACGACGATTGTCGGTTTCCCTAACAAACTGCAACTTGTAGTTAAAGCTGTCACACACTTCAGCCTCAAACTTGAAATACATCTCATTAGTGTAAATATCAACCATTTGCTCCAAAAAGTCATGATTTATTCTAAGTTTAGGTTTCTCAATCAAGTCTTTGTGATCGGCCATCAACTCCTCGTGACGTTGGCGCACTAGTCCCCTGCCAAACTGTATCATAAAATCCACCAATGAATTATTCTTCGAAACAAATTTCTTGAAGAATGCATGTCCACTTTCTGCTCGTTGGCTACTTGACATGTCTGCTGAGAAAATGTGATTAACATATGCAGGAATCCATCTTGACCGAAGTTCATATTGGTCTTGCAACCACCTGTTTCCTTCTAACCCACTTTTCTTAATCAGACTTTCCCATTGTAAATCAAATTCTTCAGGAGTCTCTGATTTCCAAATGCAAGCCGAGAACTCACTTTTATAAATACTATACTTCACTGCATCAATTTTCTCAGAAAACTTCATTAATATATGCCAACTACAATACCTGTCAAAAGAATTAAATAAAGTGTTAAAAAGAAAGGCTATGTATATAAACATTTTCAATAATATATACAAACTATAATACCTGTGAAAAGTATTTGGAAGAACAAGAGGGAATGCCTTAGTCATCGCTGGGTCTTGATCGGTAATAATCATCTTCGGGGCACCACCAGGCATACTTTCCAAAAATTGATTAAATAACCACACAAAATCATCAACGCTCTCATGATTCAAAAATCCACAAGCAAAAACAATTGTTTGACCATGATTGTTAACCCCCATTATTGGTGCAAATATAAGGCCATAGCGATTAGTGTTATAAGTAGTATCAAAGATTACAACATCACCGAAAAAATTGTAAGCCCGCCTTGATCTTGCATCGGACCAAAAACAACGAGTAATCTTTTGTTCCTCATCGGCCTCAATTTGAAAAGTAAATGCGGGATTCTTTCCTTGTTCTAATTTTAAATATTCATAAAACATTTCACCATCATGCCCCTTCAAATCAGCCCGTATATCCCTTTCATGATTATACAAATCTCTTTGAGTGCACCCTATATTTTCTATACCTCCTGATTGTACTCCAAGAAAACTAAATTGTTGATGCTGAGGTATATTCGCCATAGAGAGCTGTTTAGTTAAAGACTTTGTTGCAGCTGAAACGTTACGATGGGACCTCAAAAGATGAACCTTTGATGGTGTTGATAGCGGGTGACTGTGTTCCTCATTAAAAACAGTAACAATATATTTTCCGAAACTTGATTTTAAAACTGCAATTTTGGCAGTACAATCCTCAGCTAAGCTTCCTCGACGTCTTTTCTTTCCAACATCCGCGATTTGTAGAGATTTTCCTTGTTTAAAACAAACATACTCCTTCCTTCTTATTTCACAACTTCCCGGCTCTTTCCGAGTAGTCCAAGACCTTACACTAAACCCAGCTGCTTTAGCATAAGCATTATAGAATGTCAAAACATCATCTATTGTGTCAAATTCTTGCCCTTTTTTTGGCCTCAACTCATCTGAAACTTGAGGAGTATATATCAAATCATCGTCGTCCAAGTTTAATTCATTAGCTACATTTTGACAGCTAGACCCTACTCCAATGTCCAAGTTTTCCATGTCTCACAACAGATTCGATACCTGCGACCAACATATATGGCAACTGTTTTAAGTTAACAAAACTTTACAAAAGCCCCTACTTCAATACATAACTATTAATGAAGGTTGATGTCTACTTAATTATGATATCTGTAATTACTACTTGCTGATAAAGGGGATTCAAATTATTTTTAATTTCACGAAAGATATCTGCAATAACGTTTATTCAGTAGAATTCAAAATAATTTGCATGACCACATATTAACCACATATTACCACAATTCAACAATAACGTTTATTCAAGAGCCTGTTACTTCTAATTCTACCACTGGAAAGGTTGAAAAGGAAAAGGCAGACACAATCATTTGGAACCAAAACTGAAGAATTTCACGAACAGATATAGAACTAACTGTTCATATAAAAAACCAAAGGCATATGTGGTTATATACACTGCAAAACATTTCAGTAATCACGAACAGAACAGATAATATTAATTGATAAAACTAGAAAAAGATGACTTCTGAAGTACAATTAATAAGTTGGGGGCGTCGTGGTTACCTGAGTTGGGGAGGTCGAGATCGAGCTCCGATTTGGGGGTCCGACGTTGGTGGTCCGACGTTGGGAGGGAGGCGAGGCGGTGTTGGTCCGATTTGGGGGTCCGACGTCGAGCTCGAGAAGGATTTTGGGGGTCCGATTTGGGGGTCCGACGTTGGTGGTCCGACGTTGGGAGGGAGGCAGATACACTGAACAAATACAAACTCAGAATTGCATCTCCAATATTTTCAAACAGAATAGACATGCAACATAAACATCCAAGAAATATATGCGCAAAGATAGCGCTTGACCAGATGTTTCGCAAAACCAAGAACTTTCCAGAATCCATCAACACATGATATTGATAACAACCAACGAAAGAAGTACTCATTCCTCTTACATATCTGAATCCATCAACACATGATATTGATAACAACCAATGAAAGAAGTACTCATTCCTCTTACATATCTTGAATGGCAATTTTCTATGGCAAATCCAATAAAAAGAATCATACAGATTCGAACTGGTCATGTAAAAAAAGAGAGATAACTATCCATACCTCATTCCATCAAGAAATCCAAAGATCCCATCTTCCCCAGAATGCTGCACATCATTTGGAAACTTGCTGTAAAAAAGTTGAGGCAAAATTCCGTGCGTTGGTGGTCCGACGTTGGGAGGGAGGCGAGGCGGTGTTGGTCCGATTTGGGGGTCCGACGTCGAGCTCGAGAAGGATTTTGGGGGTCCGACGCCTTTCTCCGACGTTGGGAGGGAGATTAGGGCTTCGTCGTCGGGTGATTTTGGGGGAGAAGCAACAGTGTGGAATTGGGGATTTTGACTTTTAGGGGATGTAGCTTTCCTTTGAGAGAGAGAGAGAGAGCATTTAATTGACAGATCAAGTAGCAGAGTTATTATGAGAGAGAGAGTAGAGGAAGCATTTTGCAAAAAAACCCAAAAACCACTCATTTCCCCTCAATCCATACGAACTGATCCAAGGAGAAAAGGCACTGTATATATATATATATATATATATATATATATATATATATATATATATATATATATATATATATATATATATATATATATATATATATATATATATATATATATATATATATATATATATATATATATATATATTTGCAGAAAATGTAATTGATCTTTTCGTATCCATCGTTTGACAGTGTAAGGGCCAGTTTGGTATTTCTTTTTTTAGGGTGTTTTTGTTTATTTTTTCAAGAAGCAACCAATAATGATATTTGGTGAAAACTTTTTTGGCATGCTTATGAAACTCCTTCTTTTAAGGGATGATTTTAGAAGCAAATTGAGGATATTTTTAAAGGTAGCTTCTGATTTTTTTAGTTATATAACATACATATCTTTTATCTTTTATCAATAATCATTAAGCACAGTTCTACAAAGCATTGTCGTCGGGTGATTTTGGGGGAGAAGCAAAAGTGATCAGGAATCTCTCTGGGTCTGCCGACTTGTTCTGCTAAAGTTACTGAAATTGCTGAAATCACTACTATAATCTTGGCTTCCAAAAGCCATTCTCTGAAATAATCTAATTTCTGCAGATTGCGCAGAAAAAAGCTCACTTTGGCCAGGTCTCATGCCGTTGCTAAGGTCAATATCAGCTAAATCTAGAGCCCTCACCACCTAAATGAAAACAAAGAATGTAGATTAAAATCCCGTAAAAAAAAATGGAGGATTGAGGTGAAAAATGAAAAATTACCAGCCCCATTCGAGGCCTCATTGATGCTGAATGTCGAACACATGCAGCTGCTGTTTCAATCATTCGAAACATTTCTCTCTCATTGTAGTTATTTTCAAGCCTTGGATCGGGTAGCTCGTTGAAATCTCCAGTTTCAAGTGCATGACTCAGTAGTGGTCGAGCCTGAAGAATTAATTAGCAGTTAGCAAATTATTTTAAAAAAATGTAAGACTGTAAGTTATAGCAAGTAAATGAACACTGAAATTTTTTAGAACTTGAGGCACTTCTGCTTTGGGTCAGGAGAGACCCATCTCAAAACTCAGTTAGCAATAAACAAGGTATATACACATAAAATACACCCAAAAAAAGTTGGTTATTGATACTTCGTCTCTTTATACACACATCCTGATACATGAATATGTACAGAAACACACACATGAGCGTGCATGCATGGAAGCACACAAGTATGCACAGATATACTAAAATCAAAATTCTATCTTAACAGAAATTTCAGACTTCAATACCCTTGAAACCCTTTTTTCTTTGGGCTTAAACATTTCGCTCAAAGATATACACAATTAGCTGGTTTTTGGCCATCACTTCTATGCCTGCTTGATGCATGTGGGGAAATTTCTCCTCCTAATACGGAGATGAGTTTTCGAATGAACTAATGAATTTTGAAAAAGGAAGTTTAGAAATGGAAATTCTAAATAAAGAATTTTACCTAGAAAAACATCAAGATTTTCAAAAATGATTTTTTTAAAAATTTTCAAAAAAAGACCAGTTAAACTAGGTAGATAAATATTATGCGGAACTTAAATTAAAACAAGAATTTAAATTTTTTGTTCCATGGTTTTTAAAAAATATTTGTTAGAACAAGAAACTCGAATAGGAGTTTTAGAAGACCACTTAAAATAGTGGAAAACAACTACGGGTAAAATTATCAGATCTATTAATCCTTCAATTGACCCGCTACAGTTAAAAGATGTTTATCCCTCTACTATAGAGGCTACGACTTTTATAAAGCCTAATGAGTTTAATGAAGAACATATGAAAGAACTAAGTAAAATTATTAAACAAAATAATTATACAAATATCTATTTTCAAACTATAGGAGATCAATTAATTAGAATTGAAGACGTTTTAGATAAATTGTTATCTAAAATGAATGAGGTTATACCATCATTGAGAATGTTAGAAAAGACTAAATTTCCTCAAAGAAAATTAGAACAAACTAATAATAAACCACCAATTGATATTTCAGGCTTCAAAAAAGACAGTGAAATAACCCCTGAAATTATAGATATTCTAGCTAAAAAATTAACTAATGCTAAAATTCATACACTTACTACAGTGTTACCATCAACTTCTGCAGTTATATCTAAAACAGAAGAAGAATCGTCTAATACAGACAGTTCTGATGATATACCGTCAACAGAATTATTAGCTGTAGAGAATAACTTTACAAAGATAAATAAAATTAAAAATCATCCTCGAAAAAGACTGGAAAATATTATTATAAAAGACCAACTTCAGCAGACGTTTTATTTGAAGAAAACGATGCCTATCTACAGGCAGATTATAATAGTAGAAATATCTACGAATGGAATATAAATGGGTTATCAGACACCCAAATAAATTCTACTATACATTTTATGCTTATGTATGAAACTATATGTAAACAAAATGGAAATAATGAAAGAATGATAGCTTCTTTCATAACTTGCGGTTTTACTGGCATCCTTAAAGGATGGTGGGACAACTATCTTTCTGCTGAATCTCGAAGTGAAATCTTGGGAGCTACTAAAATAGAAAATGGCGTTCAGCAAGAAGATGCTGTCTATACTTTGATGCTAGCCATAGCACACCATTTTACTGGTGCTTACATTGATGAAGGTGAAAGAATAATGACTTTATTAATAAATTTTAGATGTCCTTCTTTAACACATTTTAGGTGGTATAAAGATACCTATTTAAGCAGAGTTATGTCTCTAAGTGATGCTAATAGCTCACATTGGAAAGCCATGGTATAAAGATACCTATTTAAGCAGAGTTATGTCTCTAAGTGATGCTAATAGCTCACATTGGAAAGCCAAATTTATAGATGGCTATGTCTCTAAGTGATGCTAATAGCTCACATTGGAAAGCCAAATTTATAGATGGCTTACCTACATTATTTATAGAAAAAGTTTAAAATAAAATTCGATCTGAATATGAGGGATATATTCCCTACGATAACCTATCATATGAGTACTTATCAAACGCCTGTATAAAAGAAGGGTTAGCTTTATGCAATGACTTAAAGCTTAAAAACCAATTAAAGTCTCAAAGACTTACAAAAAGAATAGAATTGGGAGAATTCTGTAAGCAATTTGCTTATGATCAACCATATAAGGTTGATAAAGAAAGCATTCCTAATAAAGGAAAAAATAAAAAATTCTTTAAGAAAAAAAAGAAAAAATTCTTCAAAGAAAAAGAAGAAGAAAAGCCACAAAAGGCTAAAAAGAAAATTAAACAAGAGAAAAATAAAATTCATTGCTATAAATGTGGCCGTATCGGACACTATGCAAATAAATGCTATACAAAGAAAAAGATTGATGCTATAGAAGACGAAGGTCCTAAAAGAATGTTATATAACATTTTAATTAATAGTGATACTAAAGACGAATCATATTCGTCCACTTCAAATCTGAAGAAGAAGAAGAAACTTGCCAGTGTGCAATTAATAATTGCAACGAAGAAGCTGACTATTGGAAAGCTATAGTTCAAATG